ATGTCAAGAAATTCTCACTGACATTGATAAGAAATGCACAGGCTGGGAAGGTGGGGGGAGACAATTTGATTCATAAATTGGATCTAAAGAAGACTCATGCTTTAGTTGACTGGCGCTTTATTATTTTTGTTCTTAAAGCAAGGGGTATCCATAAGTATTTTTGTAGTATTATTCAGAGGTGGTTAGAGAGCAATTTCTGCATCATTTTGATTAATGGCAATGCAATGATTACTTTAGAACTCAAAGGAGCATAAAGCAACGCAACCCCTTATCTCCCAGAGTGTTCATATTAACCTTTGATTACTTCTCCATATTGTTGAATTAGATCAAACAATAGTTTCATTATTGTACATTTTCTCAGAAGTTAATCTATTAGTTACTCACCTTATATATGTGGATGATGTGATTCTCTTTACTAATGCTAGTAGGAGAGCAACCAAAAGTCATTAGAGTGTCTTAACCTTTTTAAAAAATGCTCGGGAATGGAATTTATTAGATCTAAATGTCAATTTTTTTTGGAAATACTATATCGCTACATTTAAAACAATGGTTATGGAAGTACACAAGATTCTCATATGCTAACTTACGAATTAGCTATCTCAGTGTAACCTTATGAAGGGTGTGGGGGATTTCACCAGGGATAGTGGACATGATTAGAGATCAAAATTGACTTCTGGGCTAACTCATTCCTTTCATTGGGAGGCAAAATCACCCTTATCAAAAGCATCTTGAATGCAATTCTACTTTATATTATGCAGGTTTTAAAAATGAAGATTATTGTTTAAGCTCAGCTTGAGAAACTCATTAACAGATTCCTTTTGTTTGACAAAGAAAAAAAGGATCCTTTGGACAAGTTGAAAGAAGATGTGCAAACCTGTGGAGGCGAGTGGTTTGGGATTCCATGACCTTAGCAACTTCTCAAAAATCAACTACATTTAATTATGGACATGATTAGAGATCAATCACTATTAGGGATAGTGGACATAATTAGAGATAAAAAATGATTGGGAGGCAAAATCACCCTTATCAAAAGCATCTTGAATGCAATTCTACTTTATACTATGCAGGTTTTAAAAATGAAGATTAATGTTTAGCTCAGTTAGAGAAACTCATTAACAGATTCCTTTTTTCTGACAAAGAGAAAAGGATCCACTGGACTAGTTGAAAGAAGATTTGCAAACCTGTGGAGGCCAGTGGTTTGGGATTCCATGACCTTAGCAACTTCTCCAAAATCAACTACATTTAATTATGGAACCAAATCATGATACAAAATTCTCTTTAAACCCATACTCTTTAGAGCAAATATTGTGGAAACTTGCATCCTACCTTAGTTGAGAGTAAGTTGGGTGACTCTACTACATGGAAGGGGATGCTAAGGGTTCAAAGAGAGGCCTGAGATGTTATTATTTGGGAGTTAGCTGCTGTCAAATTATTTTTTGGTTACATAATTGGACCCTAGAGGGTCCGTTATTTGCTTTGGTTGACACTGAACTTACTAATGAGGGTCTGTTGGTGAAATGCACGTGGGAGAATGTTAAGTGACGACCTCATAAGCTTGGATCACTATTAAATGCTTGTGTAGTGACACACATTACCACACTTTCTATTAATTTGCAAAAAAATTGGATAGATTGTGGGTTAAGGGTGATTCAAATGCATCTATTTCCAATATCTGGAGAGTAGATTGTTTGCTTGGCCGACTATGAGGTGGGAGTGTCCTGTTTGGAGGGGTTGTCCTTTAATGTTTTTCATTAACCGAAGACTTCTACATTGAGTCCTACCCATTGATGATATTCTTAAATTGAAGGGTCTACAATTTCCTTCTATGTGTTTGCATTGCAAGAACAAAAAAGAGACTACTAACCACTTGCTCTTCTCTTGCAACAACGCGATTCGTATTTGGAAAGTGTTGGGTAGTTCTTTCAAAATCTTTTGCCTGAAGATGGTTTCAAGGATTAGAATCACTACATGATGCATTGGGGCCAAAGTTAGGTGATTCATATCTCAACAATGCTCTCCTTAAGTACATTGTGGATCATTTAGATGGCTTGAGATGCACTTAAACATGATGACATCCCCATTGCAGTCAATGTGGTGATTCACAACACACTAGCTTATGTTAAAAAGGATGAAAATTCTAGCAAGACCAAATATGATCTTTTCTGGGGCCATCACTTGACCTTGGAGAAACTACATATTTTAGTTAGAAGACAATAACTAAGGCAGACACATTTGGTGTTTTGGAGGAAGCTAGGTTACCCATGGATAAAAGTTAATATTGATTGGAGATTGTCTTTGAAGGGCACTGGTATGGGCGAAACATTTAGGGATCATTTTGGTCGATGTCTTCTATTTTTTATGCTTCGTATGGTTCTGTAAATTTTCATGAGCTAGAAGTGTGGGTTGTGCTTTATGCTTTGAAGATTGCGGCTAGGATGAAGTGGAGATTCTTGATTTGTGAATCAGCTTCCTTATGGCTTATTAATATCTTGATGGGTCTTACTACAACTTCTTGGGCGTTGACAATCATTACTGATTGAATTTTTGCCTTGGCTAGTGATTCTGAATTGGTGTGAACCCATACCTTTTGGGAGGGTGATTTTGAGGTGGTGTAGACACTCATACCTTTTAAGGCGGATCGGTTGGCTAGAGAAGGCACTCTTACTAATAGCATAGTTCTGGACCTCCTCCTTTTTTAGTACTTCTTCTCCATGGGGACAATTTATTGTTGCCCTATATTAGTTGCTAACATATGTATTTGTTTGGATTTAGATGGATATATATATATATATATATATATTGCAGAGGC